ACTGCTTTGGTCTGTGCATATAAATAGTTGAAATGTTGTCCAATTCTTAAGTTGCGTAATTTTCCGCTGGAAATTTAAAGCACCGGATTCTCTCAAAATTTCAAACTCCTAATTTTCTGGCTTTCGAGTGATTCTCGCGCCAAAACTCTTACGGGGTTGTACGTAATACCTCTGCATACTTGGGAACTGAATTTAAATTTATGAGGCCTCCGCGTAGGTAGTAAACATTCTTCTGAAATTTTCAACTTCTTACCTCATTTGGTTCCCGAGATGGCAGTTCTTCCCGCAAAAAATTTTTGGGATTGTACATGGTACCCAGACGTAGGGGAAAAACTGAATTTAAGTTTGAGGGGCTATACTTGGGCAGGGGACATTACCACAAAATTTCAGCTTCCTAGCTTTAGTGTTTGCGAGATAATAATTTCTACGCCAAAAGTTGCACAGAGCCGCACATACTGGGAGTGCGCGAAGGCTGAATTTGAATTTGCGGAGTTGTACGTAGGCAAGAGGTGATTACTCTAAAGATTCAACTTTCCAACTTTCGCAGTTCGCGAAATGATAATTCCCTTCGCCAAAATTCAGCCTTCCCGCGCCTCTGGTATCACACGTGACACCAGGGACGCGGGAAGGTTGAATTTAAGTTTTTGGGGTTATATTTGAACAGGGGACAGTGTCGTAAAATTTCAGCTGCCTAGCTTCTTTGATCCGCGAGATATTAATTTCTCCGTCAAATTTTTTTTTTTTTTTTGGGTGGAACAGAAAGAGGCCGGAGAGAAAGCGGTGGGGGCGGGGGGACGGCTGAATTTAAATTTGCGAGGTCGTACGTGGGTAGGGATCATTACCCTAAAAGTTCAGTTTTCTAGCTTTCATAGTCCCCGAAATAATTTCCCTCACCAAAACTTTCACGGGTCTATACGCGGTACTCACGGGCAGGGGAAGGCTGAAATTAGATTTATGGGGTCACACATGGGCAGACAACATTATTCTAAATTTTCAGCTTCCTAGCTTTTGTGGTTCCTGAGTTAAAAGTTGCTGGCAAAACGCATCGGACATACACACACACACACACACACACAGACAACCCCTTGATAGTATGCGTTCTGTGCAGCTGCAGCACAGCACAAAGCACATGAAAAGCATTTTATGAATTAATTTTGGCGATATATGAAAAAGTTCATTGCTGTGGTATGGGTTCACAGCATTTTTTTGTAAGTGGTCACATTGCAGTGGAAGATGCATATCGAGGGACTGGCATACAGGCAGCAAGGGCAGGGTCCAGCGCATCAGAACTCTTGGAACAAACATTCTCGTTGAAAATTACACTGAAGGAATGCGATCTGATACTTCTCGAAATGCCAGAATCGAAGAACAGCTTGGCTCTTGTGGCTCATACAACAGCTGTCTTGAATATGAATGATGCACATCGATTGCTCAGCGCTAACTTGGAGATACAGGTAAACTGTCGCTTTTTGTTTTTGTTTGAATACCCCGATGTTATTGAAGTGAAGCAGCTAGAAGCTAGGCAAGACTTGCTAGACCCACGTTTTTCTCCTGTCCTCTTCACTGTGCATAATTTTCTCGGCTGTTTCATAACTGAGTTTTTATTTCAATTGATGCGAAAACATTTCCAGTATTTTTGCTACTCTTCCCAATGTTGTGGGAACAGTATCAAAAATACTGGAATTTATTGGTGTATTAAGGATTTACAAACTGTGTATTCTGGTACAGCTTTGTAACTTTACTGCTTCATATTCAGCATTTTAAATTTTCTGCCTGCTCCCACCATACTTATCATGGAATTTTTCAAATTCCATTATCATTGCTGTACCGTGTCATTATTTTCACCATTAATATTAATATTATTGTTATTGTCGTTATTATTATTATTATTATTATTATTATTATTATTATTATTATTATTAT